CAAGTAGTACTTCATACCATGGTATGGGAATGATATACAGTGTGTCCGTAAAGTAACGGATAAATTCATTTAAAATTCATGTCATATTTCTTTTATGGAAAAACACTCGGACACGTCGATCTTAATTTTTAGTGGCGCTAATTTTAAACTAATTTGTATTTATACAAGGTGACCCAAAAAAGAGATATCACGTGACACTTCAATTTTTCAAATGGAATGCCCCATATATTTTGATTAATATTGATAGAGTGAGAATTCATCTCGATGCGCTCTATCAATATTCATCAAAATGTACAGGGCATTCCATTTAAAAATTTGATGTGAAATCTCTTTTTTGGGTCACCTTGTATATAAATACAAATTAGTTTAAAAACAGTAGCGGCACTGAAAATCAGGATGAACTTATACGAGCGTTTTTCCAAAAAAAAAAAAAATATGCTTACATTTTAAATGAATTTATCCGTTACTTTACGGATAGACTGTATAACACTTGGTCAGCTTCATTTGTGGTTGCATATATGAAGTTTTCTGGTTTGCTCTCATATCTCATAATATTTATAGAGGGAAGTAATGGCTTATTACTTATTACAACCTACAGTTTAGGTTCATGTTGTGCACAACAATAATTATTAAGCAATTAATAAAGAAACGAGCAGTTGGCGATCAACTTGGGGTTGTTTTTATTTTTGGGTGCTCGCTAAGAAACAATCAGAAAACAATGAAAATTATATAAGCCAAAAATATTGCAAAAAAGATCAAAAATGATGGTCAAACAGGATTTGCTATAATTTTTTTTTTGTTATATAGAAAAGAATACCGACTGTGGGGGGGCTATCTTGACCGAGCCGTGTACGCATTTTGTATGAACAAAATATGATGATAGACCTATATCATTATATCATTTGCCAAGACAAAGACGTCTTCTTACTGACATACAATCAGAAATAGAAATTATCCATCTTGCAAAATTGAAGATAAAGAGAAGAGAGATAAAGTGCTACATAGAAGTGCTGAAAGATATTCACAATATAGCCACCAAATCCAAAAATATAGATGAAAATAAAACGTCACTGCAAGGAAGTATTGAGAAGTTACAACAAAAACATGGTAAGTTATGCCCTTGTTTATACCACTTTTCCACTTTTTGTAATACCTCCCTAAAAAAGTATAGTTTTGAAATTAATGATTAATAATTTGTAGGTGCTGACTGTCATATTTTGAGTGATGAAGAAAACAATTTCAAGCTTTATTTTTTCAAAGTAGAGCTATGAAACATTACATGTCAGCTTACCCGGAATTTATCCGCATTGATGCTACCTACAAATTATTGGATATTAGGACCCAAGTCCTAATAATTATCAACGAAGATGGTAATGAAATTGTATCTGTAGGACTGTTAGTTGAAGAAAGCGCGGAAACATTGAAATGGTTTTTTACTAAATTTAAAGAAAATAATCCAGAATGGGTAGAAATAAAATCAATTATGGCAGATAAAGATTTGAATGAAAGAAGGTTATTGAAGGATCATTTTCGAAATGCGCATATCCTTATGTTTTTTTTTTATGCAATGAGATCTTTCAACAGGGAGATATCAACAGTTAAATTGAATATAACAGCTACCCAACGTCAAACCACTCTTGATATACAGGGTGTCCCATAAGTCACGGTCCAAACTGAAAGGGGTGATTCTTTGGATTATTTTATGACTAAAATTTTTAATAAACATAATATGTTCGCAACCGCTTCGTTACCATTCTACAGGGTGTTGAAATTTCAATATTTTTTTAGTTTTTTCTTTATAGCTCCTGCAATTTTTGAGGGATTCAGCTGAAATTTGGAATATAGGTGACGCAATAGGAGCTAAATAATTGCATATTTCAAACGTTTCCAAAATTCACAGGGTGATGTTTTTCCAGGGGTCATATGCCCTTTCTAAGCCCTTTTCTACCCCTGAACTTTTTTGCGGTGCGCCGCTGGTAGATCCTAAAGAATTAAATGATTTTTCTACCTATTTTAGAAACTTTTTGTTCTCTTGTAGTTTTTTCGAATTACCGACCCTTATCGAGAAAAAAATTAAAAAACAAATCTTTGTAAATAGCTAAATGAAACTACAGTGACTCAATATACCTTTTTTACCTACAGTGGTGACAATAGAAGTCCCGCCGCCATATTCTTGATCATTTTCAGTAGGAATCTAGAAGTACGCCACGCCCTTGCCGCCATATTCTTGCTCATTTCCAATATGACTACATTAAAATTTCACCACCCTGTAGATCTGTAACGAAGCGTTTGCAGACCTAATGTCTGCCCAGCGACTCTGTGTCTACGGGGCAACGGTAAGGGGAATGCAGTTGTAAAAAAAATGGCTGATTTCATTTATAAAATACCCAGCTGCGTGCGGAATTTTTTGGAAGTGTTATCGTATTGCAACTCCTACACGAAAACCGACAATGACCAAACCCCCGCCACTGGATATTTCAATATAAATCGATATTCCAAGATGGGAGGATAAAATGGCGGAAGCCCTGGCCAATAGCGAGACGTAAGGTGACGTTAGCTTATTGACAACGGCATGATTCACCGTGGCAACGGCCATCCTGCCAAAAACGCCACCAATCAGGTTCATCCAGGCCAGATGCTTGCCAAATTGTCAAAAACTAATGGTATCTTTAGAAAATGTTTATTTTTTACAATGGATAAAATTGAAGAAATCAGTTATTAGAATAAGAATAGATCTAACAACCACGTTGAAATATTTAGCGTTTTATTGGTATCTATATTTTGTTATTAAAAAATGGATTTTCAAATGAACTTTACTACATGCCTAGTATTTTCGCTTTTTTATATTTAAACGTGACAACATGGCACATTTACGTCCGAATTCCTTCCGTAGACTCAGATCCGCTGGGCAAACAATATGTTTATTTGAAATTTTAGTTATAAAATAATCCAAAGAATCACCCCTTTCAGTTTGGACCGTGACTTATGGGACACCCTGTATACCAAAAATTGTATACTCTAGAAACGATAATGCTTACAATAATTTATACGAAGATTTAATGAAAACATGTCCACTTTCGGTAATTGAATATTTTAATAAAAAATGGCATGATATCAGAGATGAATGGACTCTTGCTCCAAACTTTCAACAGTCAAATTTCTTAAATACAACTAATAATAGACTTGCATCAATTAATGCAAAAATTAAGACGTTGGTACAATTACTGTATTCCTTTTATACATCGAGTTACACCGAACGAGCTCCTCGGAGTCACTCCAAAACACACAATTCAGATTTTATCATTATTTTTTAATATTAACATTACCGTCATGAGGTAAAAGGGCTTCTTGAACCCCCCGCAAATTTGGTGCATCAGGGGAAAGGGGGATGCACTATGAGCGACCCGAGTGCTTACCGCACTTTTAAAAGGAACGCTCAAGCTTTTGACATTGAGCTGCTCCGGGTAACTCAACGGGTAAAATGAATACAGTAATTGATATATCACCCTCAGTAATTTCATTGATTATACAACTCACTGTACATTATTCCCATATGACACGACAGGATTAATAAGTGATAATCCTTCCCATATGACACGAGAGGCTTAATAAGTGATAATCCTTTTGCACGGTAACTGGTGTTTTGACATTTTTTGACAAAAAATTTAAATTTTTGATTCGTGAAATTATTAATTAATAAAGAATTGAAGTTTAGTTCGTTGTATAACCTTTTGAATACCACTCGATGTTTCAGGATTACCTAATACTTTTACCTGACACTCAACGCGTTACCAGCAACACCACTCCTCCTTCGGAGTCGTGGTGTTGCTGCGTAACGCGTTTCGTGACAGGTAGAAGTATTATCCGGTAATCCTGAAACCTCTTGTGGTATTACATTCGATAATTTTTTTAAGGTAATCTTGACGAGATCACAAAGCAGTAAATTTAATACAAAAAGTACCTGTGAACTTTTACCAAAAAGATAGTGTTCTTTACAACTATAATCAGTTGTTAACAATTGAGGCTTTCCATTTTGGAGAAAAACAATATTCAACCAGAAATAATGTTCCCAAAAAAATTATGACACTACAATCGAATCATGTAACTGTGGTTCAAGGACTTCAATGTTGTTGCCTTGTCGCCATATACTTAAAAAACGTGAAGAACATGAAATAGATATGTTTCACGAAAATCTGTGCAACAAAAGATGGACAAAGACTATTTTTTCAATCAAAGAATATTTCTTACAGATGTGACTAATATGTCAAATGAATACTTATCGTGTACACCTAGCACACCAACAATAACCCCTAGAAGCCACACTATAATAAAACTTAGCACAAAGCTGAATCAACATCAGAAGTTCAGTAAAGCATAGTTGCTTTTGAAATCGTTAGCAGATATCTTATGAGACTTAGACAATTAATTCAGCTTAAAACGGCGTGGGAAAACGATGAAACAATTTATCATTTTATACAGGTGACCTGTTTTTGCTTGGATAATGTTATCATGTTTTTAAAGTATGTAGGTACCTAAATGAATCGTTTATTAACTTGAAAAAGCCATTCTACCGCTACAGTGTTATAAATCTGATGTGGTAGAATAGCTGGCATATACCACCGGCATTCAATGTTTTAAATACATTAGACCGTCGTCCGGCGGCATTTTTTGATGCAGTGGATAGCAAACCGCCCTGATTAACAAATCAGGTTAGATTTTCGGCGGCTTTCTTACATGTACGAAAACCATGCCGCCGGAAGACAGTTTTCTTTTTCCCAAATACAAGCACCGCCGGCGGTTGATTGTGTTTTACACAAAAAACCCTGGGGGCTTCGTCATTACTAACCAGCATTCTCCCCTCCATACTGGACAGAAAAATCATAATTGACAAGCATTGACCGCATATACACATCTACATAGTACTAACTTTAGGAAGAGAAAATGAAGCTCCTGCAGTTGCATAGACAGAGAAAAAACTATTCCAAAATAACCCAACTCACCAAATTCCACAAAGAAATTATACTTTGACGGCCTGGGCGACCGCGTCGACCTCTCGTAAACAGCCGTGGTACTACCAGGCGTAGTACCACCGCCACCGAAACCACTACCAGCCATCGAGTTTTCTGAGGCATCATCACTATCAGTATCCCGCCTCTGACGAGGTTTGCGTCCACGTTTAGCTGGCACAACTGGTACGCTAGAAGAACCGTCCTCTGAATTTCTAAGAGATCTTCGTCGTTTCCGATAGACCAACGGCGGGCCAAAGGATTCCGATGTTTTTCGACTCCGTGGCAAGTCACTACTGGGTTGAGTATCTGAAAAACAATGTATTGTCAGAAATAGACTCAAAACAATTTAGAATTTTAGCTTACCTTCTTCACTATATGGAGAATCTTTAATTGCACCACTTTTTCCAAAATCTGGCTCCCCTTCATTTGACTTACTGTCATTGGATATGGGTGAAATGTTTCCATTATCCCTGTGGAAAGAATCATTTATTGGAAAAAAAAAACAAAATATGATAAATTCTTACCCTCGAGGAGACAAGTTACTGATTGTGCTCTCGGGGGTTGTGGGTGGAGTATTTTCAATCACGGCCTGCGCGTCTACCACCCTATTCTCTCGCTCTATTGGTATAACTAACGGAGGAGGTTGGTGCTTTTTGGGTGGTTCCAACAACATTTTACTGTTGCTGGTTCCAGGAGCGCTGGCAAATGGCATTTCATGAACCTTGAACAGAGATGATTAGAGATACTTCCTAATAATTACAGGTTTTTTCTTGAAATAATTGATTATATGTTGTTTTAGTTTCTATTTATCATTATTACTTACAGATGAAGTGTTTGCACCTTCATTGGTACTGGGTAACTCTATAACAGGTGCAGGACTTCTAGGGATTTCTTCCTCGCACAGTAGCAGAGAGTGCAAATTAGGATCTTGCTCTTGCTTAACCTCCTCTTTTTCCGTTGGTTCTATTTCAGTCTTTTTCTCTTCAAGTTTTGCCGGTACTTCCGGTGGTTCTTCTTTGTCTTTTGGCTTTTCTTCTACTTCGGGTTTTGGCTTGTCTTTTGGTAGAATGTCTTCAAAGCTGAAGTTGCGTTTTTCTACTTCTGGTTGGGATTCAGAGTCATCTGTTGTTGTGTTGATGATTTTCTATACGAAATTTCAAAGATTACATAACAATGAAAAGTAAAGTACCAAATAGAGTTTACAGCTAGAATGAATAACTAAGACACACAGACAAGGCAGAACATACCGTTGGAATAATTGAGTAGGGTCTTTTTATTAAACAGAACAAACCGCAAATGGATCTCAGGCTCAGAAATGGAATTATGAATTTTTTCTCAGATGCCAAAAAATCATACAAACTTTCTATTAAATCACCATTGGAAAATACTTCAAGCAATCAGAGGAACTTCAAACTGTCAGGATTTATTGGGTAGGGTCTTTTTATCAAACAGAACATTCCGCAAATGGATCTTAGGCTCTATTAAAAATAAGGCTTTCTGACGATGAGAAAATACACAGGGTGTTTCATTAAAAATAAAGTCGTTTTTTTTATTTCAAAAAATCGCATGTCTGTAAAACCAAATTTCATCAAATTTTAGGATTCAGCTACACTGTGAAAAAAAAACCGTATTCTCCCAGAGCAAACCACATCTCGCTATAATTTCTCGTTTTAGAGATATCTACCGGCAAAATGTGTCAGTTTACCTAAGGACACCCTGTAAAAATGTTCTAGGCGTGCAAGAAATAACAAAAAAAAGTCAACCTGAAGCAGAAATAAGACAAGATCCTACAAGTGAAAATTCTTACCTGCGATGACATATTACTATCAGTATTCTTGCTCTCAATCAGAGGCTTATTATCTGAAGAATTTGTCTGAGAATCATCATTATCCGATCTAATAATCAAATGCTCCGAGTCGCTACTATCACTATCCGATTCTTCAATAATGGCCTTACTAATAGGCCGTCTTCTTCTTCTAGTGTCTGTAAATTCTGCAGTGGAAGTTGATGGTTTCGAAAGTACATCTGGAGGTTTACCCTTGAGTAGTTCTAAGGATTTTGGTTTGAGAATATCTAGAGGTTTTGGCGATGGTTTGTTATCATCAAGCTTTGACTTAATTTCGGAAGGTTTAATATCAAATAATATTGGTTTGAAAGGTTTTATTTCTGACGTAGATGGTTTGGGTTCAGTGTTTTCTGGCTTGGTAACTAGTGGAGTGCCGGATCTAGTACTAGGTTTATTAATGTCACTTCGTTTTTCTTTACTAGTATTGGCAGTAACAGTAGACAATGAACTACTTGCTTCAGATTTGTTCGATTTTGTTTCAATATTATTTTTAATAAAGCTGAACTTTTGCAATATAGAATCTGCTACTTTGGTGCCAGTTTTAACAGCAGTCAATTCTTTGCAAGTCTCATCCAATTTTGGATTCAAAATCAGAGGTGGTGTAGCTACAATCGATTCTAAAAGAGTACTGTCTGTTTCTTGTAGAGCTGGATCAATAGGTTTTTTAGGTGAAGGTGGTTTGATTTCAATGGCTTCGGGGGTGGAAATAGGTTCTGATGGTTTCTGGGTTGGTGTCGTTGGTAATGAAGGAGTTTCGGATTTTTGTGGTTCTGGTTTTTTCTCTTGCTCAGCTGCTGGCTACAGGAAAATAATAAATTTTAAACAACATACAAATAATGCTTAATAATTAACGTACCTTATTAATAGGTTCTAGAATTTCTTTATCAAGAGCTGGAGGCAGTGAAGGTTCATTTTTGGAAGTCGAAGGCAACGTTAAAACACTGATTTTACTAATTATTTTGTTTGGTGGTATTTCCAGTTCGGCTTTCTTTGGTGAAGAAATTGGGTTTGTAATGGGCGCGATGATCATGGAGTTACTGCTATCATCGTCTGTCGACGAGCTCTGAGCGATAACTCTTTGAATTTGAGCTTGTATATCGTCATCGTCACTGTTGGTAGTTTTACCTTAAAAAAAAACATAAATAATGAAAAAAAGGTCAGAATTGACAATCAATGCATGAAGTTTTTCGCAAATAGCTTAAAAAATTGGCTTGAAAAAATTGCAAACTTTCACTTTTGAAAAAGTTGCATTCTTTATTCAAGAAAAAAATAATTTAAATAAAATGTTGCTTCAAAACTGTTTATCTCTATACGCTGAACAGTTTCTATTTGTATTAGTGACGTCACACGTCACAAAATTGAAATATTTTACACGCAGTTCAAGCTAGTACAGTTGAATACACTGAAAGTTTTTCAGTCGTGAAGAGAGAATCATGAACTTATTTGTTGGAACATAAAACCCCAAGAACGAGGTTAGAATTTTTTTATCTGAATTCAGTATGTCACGTTTGTCTAGGGATTAGAAATACTATCCAATTATCGCATAAAACGATTTTCTATACAATCCAAAATAAATGCACCTTTTATAACTCAGTCATATGGTCATGAAAATCTAAAAATTGTATTTTATTGGCCGCAATATTGCAGGTGCTACGAATGCGATTGGTTAATGTGTCACGTAATCAACTGTAAATATTAAAACTCACATGTTCTAGAGGAAGATACCCTCGTTATCTACGCAATACGATTACCGGAACTATTGTATTGTCTAGCGATAACATTCATTTACTTAATTAATTATAAATTTCTTCCGCCGATCAAACACTAAACGAACTTTTAAATTATTTAGTTCAGGGCCGATCATTCTTGTTTCGGTGGTTTGTGTATGTGTTTAGCATTTATCAAAACAAACACCTGGTTTTAACATTATCTTACTTATTATGTAATCTTATTATACAAAAATCTCACAGAAGATAAAATTCGTATCGGAATTTATTTTGGTATTAATTTTATCACCAGTGCATTGGTAAAGCTTGAAAATAAAATATGTAGGTCAAATGTTAAAAATATACCTTCATCAGTTTTGCTGCTGGAAAAGTCGGGCGTATTTCTGTCTGTTGGCGACTTGGAGAATGTAGTTGAAAATAGCGTGTCCTCTCTGGTAAATATTTGCTGTTGCGACTCGCAGTCTGACAATTCCATATCTCTGCTGCAATCATCGGAAGTTTCGGGTGGTTCTTTGAATAAACTCAAACTGTCAGCGAAGGATGTCTAAAAATTTATTAAATATTTTAATGACAAAAGTAAAATATGCAAGGTCTAATCTTTTTAAACAAAAATAATTGGTAAAATAATAAAAACATGTTTCAAAGTGTTGAATTTATAAAGTTCTTATCAAAGTGGCAATGAAAATTTTAGAAGTACATATATAAAGTAATTGACCTACTAATGAGCTTTACTAAAAATGTGTTCAATATGTCATTTTGATAAGGGAAACGTAAACAAATCGAGATGCAAATGACCAATTTTGAAAATCTATATTTTGATTTTATTGGTAAAATTCTTGCAGTATGGGATTTGTACAAGCAATTTAGATCATTTCTAAAAAGAGCTTCTGATAAATAAAAGGATCAAGAAACATCATTCCATTGACGGGTGAACAATTATAGGCCTATAAGTATATTACCTGGTTTTTCAAAAATTTTCGAAGCAGCGTTTTCTAAAGGGTAAATCCACACAAACAGCGCTTTTCGCTTTCATTAAAGATATTCTCAACCACCTCGAAGACAGTGAAATAGCACTTGGAATGCTATTGGATTTATCTAAGACCTATGATTGTTTGGACAGAGGTTTACTTATGCAAAAAATGGAGAAATATGGTGTAAGCAGTAATGTGAAGAAATGGTTTGCCTCATATACTAACAACAGGAGAAACGCTGTAACAGTAACTAACGAAAAATGGAAAGACCAGGTATCTCAAAAATTGTATATAATGATGTAGGAATTGCACAAGGGAGTATATAAGGCCCAATCCTGTTTATAGTTTTTTTGAACAACCTTGGTTTGGTAGGGAATTCTTCTAGCCAACATACTATAAAATATGCAGATCTGATTGTCGGCAGCAAAACATTACAAGAAATGATAATCAAAACTGAAGAATTCTTCAACATGGTAACGAGTTGGTTCTGCGCCAATAAATTAATTCTGAATGAGAAAAAAACAAATATTTTATTGTTTAGAACAAAGCAGTCCAAAATACACAGACTGGCACGGATTCAATTTGAGGAAAACAGTCTAGATACAAATGAGAATGAGTTTTTAGATATTCACATAAACGACACCTTGATTGGGCTTGTCATATTACACAGTTAGCTAAGAAGCTGAATTCTATTTGTTATGGTATTAGGATAGTTAGTAAATATATGAATGCGGGCTCATTGAAAATATTATACATCTGCCAACTTTGAATCTGTTCTAAAATATGGTATCATCTTCCGGGGAAGGGACAGCAGGTTGCAAAATATCTTTGTTGGATAGAAAAGACTAATAAGAATAATAAAAAAAATGGACTACCTTCAGAGCTGTAGATCAGTATTTAAATGTATGGGTGTTATGACAGTACATTTATGAATGCCTAATGTTCTTCTTTCGCAATAAACATCTTTTTGATAGTAAAACGTAGAGATTGAAGTTTACCGGTAATTTTCATTTGTTCTTTTTCAGTGGTAATTTACCGGTAATTTTGGTAATTTTGGAAATATTTCATAAAAGAATTATGACTATATTATATACTAGGTATATACGTTCAAGGATTATATATTTCCAGAGTTTTTTACCTTAACAGCCATTTATTATAATATTGTTTGTTGTAAAACCTAACCTCGTAGAAATATTACAATATTTAAACAAATAAATACCTAATTCCTAGAACGAGAAACGAGCAAAGAAAATCAAACAAAAATAAAACAGAAATAAATTCTTAATCTGGTGCTAAACTAAATAGTAAAGTAAATACCTACTTTCAAAGGGCAAAAAGAAAACAAATAAATAAAAATCTGAATAAGTATAGCATAAGAGATACCTAACTCTGTCAAGAAAATTAATCACTTTAAGCGTGCAGCGTTGGCAAAAGCCCGTATTTTTGGAAATTTCTATTGGTTTTTTGGGTTTTTGCGAGAGTTGTGATTTTGTAGAGTTTTTGTGCTCTAAGATCTTTGACTCTTTGACATTCCAAATAATGACATTCCAAACTCAGAAGTCAACAAAAACCCACTGAGTTTTTGAAATAGGCTTCTCCTTCGAGCACAATATTTTCATTCAAGATATAGGTACTACATATTTTTTACTTCAAATCAAATTACTATCTATAGGTACTATTTTCCATTCAGAAAACCTAGATCTTAAACGCATTTTTTTGGTCATTTTTTGAAAAATAAAATGGAGAGAAAAAGTCGTGGAAAAACATTACACCTAACTCTTGCGGAAAATGCCTTTTCCACCCTTGACAGCTTGCCAACTGCCGTCGCGTGCGGAAAAGCACCACTTTACGAACTTGTTGGGTAAATAACTGACAACCGTGAAAGCACGTTACAGATTCACAACTAGATGGCGAATAATGCATGAAAAAGCTTGTCGCCCGAATGTGATTTCATTCTGGAAGCATTTTTGAAAATTACCGGTAAAGAAATTTGTCGGGTTAAATTACCAAAATTACCTTACCAAAATTACCGTTACCGCGGTAACGTTACCACACTTTAATCTCTAGTAAAACGGAACACAAACATAACACGAGAACATTGGATTTTGAGTACAAGCCACATAGACTTACTTTAATGGCAAAATTACCCCATTATATGTGTGTCAAATTATTCAATACGCTCCCTAACCGAATACAAAGTCTTAATTCAGGTAAAAAATTTAAAATAGATATTAAGAAATTGTAAGTTAACTTAAAACCATATTGTTTAAGAGATTTTTGCCCAGATCTATAATAATTTTATAACATTGTGATCTTTTGACTCTGTTTCATTTTATGTACTCTATTGTATTATGATCTTGAATAAAGAAATTAAGAAATTTATTATTATTATTATTATTATTATTATTACTCGTATTTTAATAAACAATAGTACATTATATACCTAGGTAGAGAAGTTGGTCATTATATACCGAACGCTTTTATAAACCGAGGCGCGTAGCGCCGAGGTTTATAATGCGTAAGGTATATAATGACTTTCTCTACCGTGGAATATATAGAATTTTTTTTACTACTGCTATAGTAGAAAATAAAAAATAAGTTTGAAATCTGAGCTCAAATTATTTTTTCTAGTTGAAAGTGCTGCCCTCTATCAACATCTATGGTAATTTCCTATGATACATACAGGAACATGTTTTTTTGATTAAATTGACAGTTTGAAATTGAAATTAAATCAATAGAAACCTGTAACGTTATGACAATATCCTTGCGTCATGACGTCATTTTCATTATTGACCTAGGTTTTTTTTCATTATTTTCATTATTAACCTAGGGAGAGAAATTCAATTTTTTCCGAGAAAAATAGATTGAATAATGACTACTTCTCAGGTTAGTAGTAAAAAAAAACTTTTCTAAGAAATTTGAATTTGAGAATAGCTTAAGGTTTCAAGATTTGATTGTTGAGAAAGAGTTTGAATTGTCTGTTTGTAGGTGTAAAAAATTGAATATGTCTTTAGTTTCTGTATATCGTCCGCCCCAATGTAGTGGGAGTGTATTTTTGGAGAGGTTGCAGTTTCTTTTGTCGAATCTCTGTCCTCAATTTAATGTTGTCTTGACGGGGGATTTGAACATTGACTATAACAGTGAAGATTCTTCATGTGCTATGGCATTGAAGCATTTGTTAAAATCATTTAACCTTAAGATGCATGTGAATTCGCCAACTAGAATCACAAATTGTTCTGCTTCTGTTCTGGATTATGTTTGTACCAGTTTGGATGGTGAAGTCTTCTGTAATGTGGTGAGCGCGGGCCTCTCTGATCATGAGGCTGTGCTTTGTAGCATACCGGTTTGTGGCCGGAAATCTCCGCGGTCGGAGGAGCGAGGTAGAATCTTTTCAGGGAGAAATTTTAATAAGTTTTACCAATGCTGCCTGACTGTGGACTGGTTGGGTACTTTTCGTACTGAGGATCCCTTGAGCAGGTTCCATGTCTTGTTGACTGATGTCTTTGAACGTTCATTTCCAGTTGTGAGGATTAGAAACAGGAGGCGGAAACCATGGATTACTGGGGGAATTAGAAGGTCTGGCAGGAATCTTCGGGCTTTACATTATATACGTAAATATTTTATGGACTGTGGGTTTTTTTGTGTCATATTTTAATAGATATAGGTCACTTTATCGTAAAACATTGAAACTAGCCAAAAGAACTTATTTTGAAAATCGCATAGTCAATTCTCAGAATGAGCAAAGAGAGAGTTGGAAAATTGTTAAACAACTAAGAGGAAAGCATAGTGGGATTGAAGCCCGGACTGACGTAACGCCTAATGAGTTGAATAAATTTTACTGCTCCATTGCTCGGAAGCTTGCAAGTGGTATTGTTCCTCAGTGCAATCCATTGGACTTTCTACAAAATGTTAGTGTTGTTCAGTCTTTTTTTCTTGCACCTACGGACTTGAGGGAAATTGAGCTGACCTTTAAGGATATTAAGAGTAAGAATGCAGCTGGATATGATAGTATCTCCATCAAACTCCTGCAGGGGTTGCCAAGGTGTGCACTTGATGCTTTGGTTGATGCCATAAACCATTCTTTTTTCTCGGTTTTTTCCCAAGTTCATTGAAGGAAGCGGTTGTGATACCAATTTATAAGGGTGGGGATACTTCTGAGCCCTCCAATTTCGGACCCATCTCATTGTTACCCACAATTGGTAAGGTTATCGAAAGGCTAGTTAAGAACAGAGTTGTCTTTCAGAGTCACAAAACCAATTACAAGAGGAATATAGTGATAGTGATTGCGAAGATAAGGAATCGTTCGAAGATATAAAAAAATTTTAATATATTTTTTTTTCTTATTTTACTGTAGCCTCATTATTATTCGACTTAGATATTAATAGCAATTCTGTACAAAAATAAAGCTTCTGATCAAACAATGAAACAAAGTTTCTCTCGTATTTTTTCCCATACAATTGAATAGCATAATCATTTTTTGGGGATTTTTTAAAGTTCAAACAAATTATCAATAATTATGTCTTTTTTTGCACTTTTTTCATTTTTGAGTATGTTCTTGAATTGCGACAGCTAT